GTCTCAAGCACTTTTATACATATGTTGCCATCATCATTTTCAAAATGTTTTCTTTCTACTTGAGCCCTTGCTATCAGTGCATTTCCCCCCTCCCTTCCCACCTTCCCTCCCTCATGAATGCTTGAGAAATTATAAGTTATTATTTTCATATCTTACATCATCCAGTTCCATTCTTTTTTTAATATATATTTTTTATTTTTATCATTTTATTAGGGGCTCATACAACTCTTATCACAATCCATACACACATCAATTGTGTCAAGCACATGTACATGTTGCCATCATCATTCTCAAAACACCTGCTTTCTACTTCAGCCCTTGGCATCAGCGCCTCATTTTCCCCTCTCCCTCCCTGTTCCCCCCGCCCCCATGAGCCCTTGATAATTTATAAATTATTATTACTTTGTCATACCTAGTTCCATTCTTAACAAAGCCGAACAATCAAAATATTCTTGCCAATATTATTTACGTTTTAAAAACATGATGTTCCATTCATCAAATATCAAATGGTATTTATAATTCAGGTATAAACTATAAAGCCATGTAAAGACCAGGAAGGAAAAGGTGTTATTGAAAGTGAAGCTAATGATGTGTGAAGTATTTTCACATGATATCTAGTTAAAATGTAGGAGTGAAGAATTGGCCTCGTACATGTGGAATTCTGTTATAATTAATTTGGAACATTGATATTACAGGCTTTGTACCAGTTAATTTGTAACTTGTACTTGGATTAAAAGTTAAATTGTTAATTATGAAATCTGATTAAGTTGTTAGCTGGGGTAACACCTTATTAAATTGATGTTAGAGCAAGCATGTTCTTGATTCTTTTTCAATAAACAATCATGGATTTGCTTTAAAATCCTGGAGATTTCTTATTAAGAGATTGAGTATTATAAACCTCAACAAACTTAAATCACCTTTGACAGAGTGTTTCATGTGTAAATACTGGTTTTACTTTATATTTTCATCCTTACATTTGATGTTGATAAGATGGTCCCTTTTATAAACATCCCTTGTATAAAGGGATGTTACAGCTTGTCTAAATTTTTAAGCTTTATTATTATCAAATATTAATTTTATATCACAATTTATATTATGTCAAATATATAAAAATAAAGTTAAAAAATATCACATGAGGTCCAGTACAATTTAAATAGCATAGATCTTTCTTAGCCTCTAAGAGGTAAATCTTTATTCTGAAATTGGAGTTTACTATTTTATGCATTTAATAAGCAATGAATACTAAATCTCCATATGTGTACACACAATATATATTAAAAACAAAGCAAATTTTATTTTTGGTGAAAATGTACACAGCAAAATCACTTCCTCACCATTTCTAAACATAATCACCAGCAACATTGGTTAAATTCTTCCCATTGCATCAACATTTTTAATTCTTTTTCTTCTAGTTTCACTTTCGTTTGCTTCATCTCCTTGTCTCCAACCTACTCTTCTGTGCATTAAAATGACCCTTTCTCTGGTCTTACATAACTTAAAATAATAATAAATGCACTGGCCATCAAGGGTGATAGTCTTTATTCTTTGCACTAAAGTATAGTTTAAAGGTGATTTCAGGTGACAGCTTCAATCCAAGGTTTGAAGAACAACAAAAAATGAAACGCGCTGCCCTAAAGTCAGTTCTGACTCTTCAGGGCCCTGTAGGACAGAGTCGGGCTGCTCCTTTGGGTTTTCAAGGCTTTGCAGCAGCGCTTCTCAAACCTGTGAGCTGTGACCCCTTTGGGGGTGGAACGACCCTTTCACAGGGGTCGCCTAACACCATCGGAAAACATTTCAGATGGTTTTAGGGACGGAGACATCGCTTCTCTGTCTCCAGGCGGGTCCCCTCACATGCAAAATACGCCCACCTACGAGTGCCCCAGGTGAAGACTGTTACCCATGCTACACCATGCTTCAAGACAAAATTTCATTTATTTGTAATTAGAAATAAATATTTCACAATATATGACATTGTTTCTGTGAGTCATCATTATGCTTTAATTTGTAACAATGAAAATACATCCTGCATACCAGATATTTACATGATGATTCATAGCAGTAGTGAAATTACAGTTATGAAGTAGCAATGAAAATAATTTTATGGTTGGGGTCACCACAACATGAGGAACTGTATGAGAGGGTCGTGACTTTAGGAAGGTTGAGAACCGCTGCTCTACAGTTTTTACAGCAGCGACAGTCCCATCTTTACCACAGAGCAGCTGGTGGTGTTAGGTTAACAGCTCGGTGCATAGCCCTCCACGACCAGAGCTCAATGATTGCAGGGAGTCCTCCAGGCTCAATAGGTCTAGTAAGTCTGGAGTCTTTAAAACTCTGAAATTGTGCTTTATATTCCCCCCCCCCCCTTATTTCTCCCTTTTTATGAGCATTTCTCTATTATGGTCCAGATCAGAACATTCAGTACTGGGATCTGAAAATAGGTAATTTTAACATGATCAAAGATGGCTTTTTTCATGAGCAAGCACAAACTTGTTTATTACCAAAAAACAAAGCAAAACAATGATAGTTCAACCACAGCAAGAAGTTTTAACATTCTATCCTTCATTTGAAAACTATTTTTCCAGTTTTATTGGCACATAATCCACATAAACAATTTAATCATTTGATTATGTCAAGAAAAATTGTACAATCATCACCACAAACAATTTCAGAATTTTTTTTTTCTTTTTCACCCCCACAATTAAATCACCTGTAAAATGAGTTGCAAACCCTACAAACCCTTGCATCGGTTATTATCTCTATGCATCCACTCCTTCTGTGCTTCACAAACTGGTAAACCCAACATAAATAATAAAGAACAAAACCAAAATATAGTGGTAAGAATAAAACAATAGTAATATAAAGATACGAACAATGAGTAAGAAAAAAGGACCACCACCAATATTTAAAAAGCCAGAGAGGAAGTTTTTGCAAAATCCAGGGAAGAGTTCCTTGCACCTAGAACAAATTCAGGTTGGGTGTAGGGAGGTCAACAGACTATCAAGTTTGATGCAGTAAAATCAGATTACAATGGTCCGTGTTTGACAGTAAGGCTGGTTGAGACTGTTGTTTGTGTCTGGAGGGGATAATGTGGGGCTTACTCTGGATCTTCTGCAGATGGGTTTGGTTTGGCCTACCACTGTCTTCCACAAATTGAGTGTTCACAATTTTAGCTCTGGTAATTTTCCCTTTGTCATACTTGAATTTTGTTATTGTCTTTTTTGGATCACACAAGCTGGGGTGCTTTTTCCATATGGACTTAATTGATTCCTCTCTTAGATGGCTGCTTGCTTGGATACAACCCTTTAAGACCTCAGACAATATTCTAATTGATAGCCAGGCACCACCTGCATTCTTCACCACAGTTTGCTGTAGCACCCTTATCTTCAGTGATCATTTTATGAAGGCAAGTATTGAGTAGGTCCATGATATCAGAACTAATTGTTTTTGGATTGGGGCTAGAGTTAATTAGAAAACCAGAATCCATCTGCTTGTTCCTGAGATCTACATGACTGGATTTTACTTTGGCAGTTTTTGAATGACAAATTAGAACCTCACATATGACTCAGCAACACCAGCACCAGCAACAAACCAGCCAGCAAACAAACAAACAAGAGGCAAAACAAAAGATGCTAAAGGCAGGAAAACAAAAACTCATAGGAACAGTAAAAGCAAAGCTGTGTCAGTCATCCCCCTGGGCCATAAGGCGAATGCACGGTTGACATCTATTTTCCAAATGACACAGCACTCCGGACACTGTTGGTATTTGGAATCTGTGCAAATATAGATCCACCTTGAGCTGCAGTCCATGTGTTATTGCCCTGCACCGTTTGATCTCCCATTCTTTTGCGTTCTGTTTATCCTAAGTATGTATGGAGCTTGGTGCCTGAGGAAAACTTCCTGGATCAGTTTTTCCGTGTTGAAAACTTTCAAGTTTGAAAGAATTACAGGGAGTTTCTGCATACTTTTTACCCATCTTCCTCTAATGGTTGCCTGTATATAAGTATATGACAAAACCCAGGAAATCGACCTTGGTGAAATGTGTGTGAATAGTTTTATTGTTATTTTATCACATCTGTAGATTTGTGTAACTGCCATTGCAGTCAAGATAGAGAACTATTCAATCATCCCAAATTCTTTATCATACTACCATGTTTATTCAGGTTAAGCCAAAAGGTGACCATTGGAGATTGGTTCTTGAGGCCCATCCAAGTGGCTTTGTGCATAAATAGCTCTTTCTTTCATAGTCTTTTTTTTTTTACCCTTTCAAAGTCTTGAGTAATATTCTATGGTAGTGATCTACCATAATTTGTTTTACCATTTATCGAAAGACCTCTGGTCGTTAGAAAGGACATTTGACTGATAAAAACTTGTTATAAGCATGTTTGGTGGGTTTTATGTGGACTTTTTCTTTCACTGGGATAAATGCACGGGGCTGATTTGGGTGTATGGTAAATCTATATTTTAATTGTAAGGAAATTGATTGCCAAGGTGGTTTCCTTAGGGATGGTACCATTTTACATCTCCATCAACAGTTGTATAGGATATTTTCTTTCTCTGAATTTTGTAATATTTTTTATTGACACCGTTTCTTTTATCTATTCTAATAGATATGTAGTGATATCATGATCACTCATGTATCCTTTACAGTAAAATATCTCCATTTCTTTTGCCCCCTTTCTAATTGAATTGCTTGCTTTTTATTGTTGAGTGTTGAGAGCACTTTATACATTCTAGATATGAATCTTGTCAGATATATGAGCTTCAAGTATTTTCCTACCAATAAAAATTAACAACCAAAGGATTATTAAATTTTGGTGCAATTTCTGTAATGGCTATAGGTTTTCTACTTTAGACAAGTATAAAAATTACATGCATTTATAGTGACCAGTATTTTGTTATATCTTCACTTTAAATATTTTGAGAGTATGAAAGATGAAAGTAATGGGAGATAAACAGGAACACTTCTTGACGTTTACTTTTTATTTTGTGCTCCTTATCAGGTACTCAAAAGTGTGACAACTTTGCTGAAAAAAGACCTCTCCTTGGTGTTTGTAAAAGCATTGGATCTTCTGGGTAAGGACATTTAAAAACAGTCTTTGCATCAAAATATGTACAGGTGAATAGAGACCAGTTGCTATGCCTTGGATGGCTGATTCCAAGAAATCTTACTCTTTTTATAACCATAATTCTGTGTTCTCACAAGAGAGAAGAAAAGAAAGCAAAACTCAGAGCTTTTGTAATTCAGGCAGTCTCTCTATCATTTCCTCTGACACCATTTTCTCACATGCTGGATGATAGCTGGAGACTATTGAACACAGCAATAGATCGCAATATATTCTTGAAATAGGGAATTACCATCATTAAGTAAAAAAAGGATGTTTAATGTGTTTCTAACATAATCATTTTTTATGGTGGCCTTTCATAATACAATAGAAATTAATATGTGCATGGTAATAATTAGAAAAACAAATTAAAATAACTAATATTTACAGATGCCACAACATGTACTTGACATTGTTCTAAAGGTTTTGCATAAAATCTTTAAATTTGTCTTTCAGCAATCTATGAAATAGGTCCTATTATTTTACATAGTAAGAAACTGAAGCATTGATGCTATGCAGTGATGCTCTGGATTCAAGCATGACCATGCTGCTCTCAATTCAACATGCTGGTTACATGACTGTGTATAACAGTAAAAATGACTCATAAAATCAGATATTTTCTCTATTTCCCTGTCTATGAAAATCACCATACTAATATTTTCACAAGGTAATAATCAAGCAGGTCTCCATTTTATAGTAACTTTTTCTTTTGGTTAGCAATTTTTTCAACTGCTAATGCAATTATGAAGCTCTAACTGATCTGCTGCCATCCAGTTAATTCTGACTCATAGTGATATCCTGTAAAAAATGTCATCAAAGGCTGTGGACAGGCCATCCAGGGCTACCGAAATGTTCCAAAGTGACCGAGGGTCTTTGTAGCTTTGTGATTATGACTCTTTCCTCTAAGGACCTCAGAATGGCTTTGAGTTGGCACACCTCCTAACTCCAAAACTGCTGACGACAGGAAAGGCTGAGCGTTAATTCTGTGCTCTGTACTGGATAGTCATCCTTACGTCATAACCGTTTAGAACATTCAAAATGGAGATAATTTCTTTGCTATGCCTCATTTTAGTGAAAAATACGTGTGTTTTCCTTTGATAGATTTTTGTCTTACACAGGTTCCAGCTTTTGTAGATTTTACTGTAAATATACAATGTAAGCTTGTATTTTAGCATTCATATCTCAGAAAGTTTTTTTATATACCTATTTTCCAACAGTATTTCTGTAGAACTGGAATTCAGTTATTCAGTATCACATACACTTCTCCAGTCACTTCATTAGACTTTTTTGAAGTAGAAAGGTACTTCACCAATGTGTTACTTTAACACGTAGTTTAAAGTGAGTTCAAAGGGGATAGCATTATACATAGAATGTAAGTATTGAAAAATAAAGGTAGCTAATTTAAGAAATACTGTTGTTTAATAGGGGAGAATGACAGCGCTTTCTACTCCTTTTTAAAAAAAATTAATAAATCATTTTATTGGGGACTCTTACAGCTCCCATCATAATCCATACATCACTTGTATCAAACACATTTGTACTTATGTTGCAATCATCATTTTCAAAACATTTTCTTTGTGCTTGAGCTTTTGGTATCAGCTCCTTTTTTCCCCCCTCCTCCTCCCCTCCCACCCTCATGGACCCCTGATAAATTATAAATTATTATTTTCATATTTTATACCGCCTGTTGTCTCCCTTCACCTACATTTCTGTTGTTCCTCCCACTGGGGTGGGTGTGGGGGTCTATACATTGATCATTGTAGTTGGTTCCCTGTTTCTCCCCCTCTTCCCCTACCTTCCCCCTAGCCTCATAGTATCGCTACTCTCATGCGGGGTTTCTCTCTCCTGGATTCCGTGTGTCGAGAGCTCTATCTGTACCAGTGTACATTCTCCAGTCTAGCTGGATTTGTAAGGTAGAAAGGGCTTTCTACTCCTGTAAAGAGGTATAGTCTCAGAAACTCACAGGTGCAGTTCCACCCGATCTTACAGGGTCACTGTGAGTCAGAACCTCCACCATGGCAGTGAGTTCTTTTTTTATTTTTTAATACAGCAAAAATGCGACTTGAAGACATTTGAAGAAATAATGCAGAGTAGTAGGGGATATGATTATATCCAGGGTTCTTTGAATCAAGACTCTCAAGTTTGAAGGGCATAGATAGGCAAATTGTGAGAGAAACCACAGAGTGGGCAAATGGGAAACAATGAAATAATAAATGTTATAAGAGTAAGAGACAACAAATTAAAAAGTGTGTAAATCAAATAGAAGTGAAGAAAGTATATAACCATGTGATGGATAGTTGGAGATAATTTGTTTAATGTCACATGAATCTTGAAAATGTAGACTTTATCTTGTCTGACTTGGTTTCCTTCTTGGAATAAAATTTTGGTTTTGACAACATGAAATTTCATAAGCTTGCTATATAGTCATCTTAGTTATTTCTCTGAATATTAATTTTCTTTTTGTGAATGAGTGAAGTTCTTAATCTTTTGATATCACCAAAATCACTGGTACACAAAATTATACACTCTTCCCCGTGTGTTCTTTGAAGAAATAGATTGTTCAGGTCGTTTTCCATATCCTGTTAAATGCTACAGAGCTCCAGCTGTTTTGGATTTTATCAACTCCTTATACTCACCACTGCCTATTGAATTATTCTTGCAAGATGCCAACAAGAATTTCTTTTTTGACATATAATTTTATTTCTATAATTTATAATTCAAAGGAGAATAATTGCTGTAGAAGGAGTCTCTGGCCTTCTTCATCCGTTTTCTTTAGAATCAAGCTTATTTATTTCACTTCGCCCCAGTGGCTCTATTTCATTTATGACACCCAGTTACTATTGTGAGAGACTGTCCTATCAGCATTCCACAATAGTTTATAAGGTCTTAGAGAAGATAATGTTTATTGTGCTACTGATCCAGGGATTCAGTCACTTTGTTGTGTAATAATTTGAGGGAAACAGGAAAAACCATGGAAAAGATCCAAGGAATATACACTCTCCAAGGAAACCAAAGTTGTCATTTATATTAACCAGTTCCCAGAAGGTAGTTGTTTGTAATTAGGCTCTCCTTACCGGCTATGAATAAAGAGCAAATGAATAATAATAATAGTATTATTAAACAGCTGATGGTAGATCTTAGAGAATGTTTAGTTCAATGCATTATGTTCCTAAATTAAACATTTTATGTTACCTTTACAACATAAGACCTTTAGAATATTGCGTGTGGCAAGTACCCTGAAGATCATATAATTGCCTTATGATATGGAACAGGAAATTCTTAAAAGTGAAATAAAAATTTTAATTTATTTATCTTTATTGGTTAGGAATACCTCACACTTTGGACTCTGTACTTTGAGCTTATTGCAGAGCTGCCAGAGTAAGCCAGGCACAGTTCCTTTTGTCACGTCCTCCTGGCGCAGGGCTGGAATGGCACCCAGGGACACAGGAAAACAAAGCAAAAAAGGGCAGGAAACACCACATTGAGGAGACAAGAGTGTATTAGGTAATTTACGTATGTGAAGATTAAATGTCGTTTTGTGGCCAACAGAAGGTTAATGTCAAGATCCTCAGTAGACAGTTTCATCCCGGTAAAAGTCCACACAGTGTAGTGAGAGTTGAATGTATATGCCTGTAGTATTAAATTAAATTGGCGATGGCGGGGGCGGGGGGGGGGGGGGGGCCCCCGCCCCCACCGCTACTACTACTACTACTACTATCGGGTTCAGTAAGCACAATTGTACGGTTGAGATATATAAGCGTTATATTAAGGTCATTGAGAGCATGAGAGACTCCTTCTACAGCATACAATAATACAGTCAGACATATTACATGGTAGCATCGTTCACTTCAGCCCTGCTTGATGGTCCTTGTGGAGGGGCCTTAGCCATCAGAGAAGAAGCCGCTGTCTCGTCCTCCTTAGCCACCTTCTCCAGCCACCCTCCCGAGAACCAGGGAGCCTCATTATTTATTGCTAAACCATACATCATATCACTTTAGGGGGATACATCACAGCATCATGCATCACAGAGAGGGGCAATACAATTCACAACAACCTGCGTCATAGGGAGGGATTGCAACTTAGGCAATACAAGCAATAGGAGGGGTATGACCTAGTCATCTTGGAGTGGTCCCGGGCTTGCCTTTGGGCACTGCTTTGAGGGAACAATGTCAGAAGGGAATGGGCCCTACTTAGGGTGAGTCAGACTATACAGTCTGGCCGCTCTAGATGGCTGATGTTAAGGAGAATAACCGCTGACCTACTTTCTCTGACCGCCTGTTGTACAGTCATTTTTAAGCAGCTAAGTCTGGTACATATTATTGGGGAGACAGCTTAAGAGAAATCCTTCTGTTCCCCACATATACCTAGGATTTTATAAGCAATGATTTTTTCAGAAGGCTGATGAAATGGCATGATGGCCATATCCGACATCCTCTGGCTACACAAAGGAGGAGAATCCAAATCCACATCAGCCCAATGCCAGTTGCCATAAGGCAGAGGTCACACATACACAAATTGCAGCACAACACAAAAACATGTAATAAACTTTATTTTTTAATGCAACTTCCTGGGTATACTAATGTTATTTCTTCATTGAGAACTAATTGGAGCATCCCTCCGCCCCGTTTCCTCTTATCTCTTTGTAATTCCTTCCTCCCATCCTTTTTTGCTTCTATTTGCCAGGAAACCAGTCATCTACTTTCTGTCACTACAGATTAATTTTCATTCTTTATATAAATTAAATCATTCTGCGTGTATACTCTATTTTGGGTCCATCTCATTTCACTCAGCATATTTATGTAGAGATTCCGTCATCTTATTACCTGTTAGTAATTCATTTATTACTGTTTCATATGATACTATTTGGATATGCCACAAATAACTTATCTATTTATGTTGGTTTATTTGGGCTTTTGTAAATAATTCTGTGAATTTATATATCTGTGAATAATTCTGTGAATATTAATGTTT